CACGTGAGAAATATATATATAATATTGGCTGTTTAGTACATTAAAACTTTATTTACTAATTAATCAAGTTTTACTGGGGTTGAAGTCACAAGAACATAATTAATTATACCCATCAATTAAGCTCACTGGGCAAAATTAAATTTGATTGAAAAAAAAGTCATGAACAAGGGTAGAGAAATGTATAAACACGTGAAGATATTTCTTTGATTATTATTGGCCAAAAGTAAATCATGTGATGATTACGTAAACTAATAAAATCGAGAAATGTATATATCTACAATATAAAAGAAATTTGATCGTTGGATCAAATTTTATTTGAGATTTTCTAAGTTCCTGTTATAGAGGTTCCGCACTGTAATAAAATAATGGAATGGGGTCAACAGCAGTCAGAAGAAGATCTCCCTTTGAAAAATGAATTAGAAATGTTGGTTGAAAGGTTAAAGGTAAAGTCATTATAAGTTTTTTTTTTTAATTATTTTGAATATACCTTGATATATCATTTTTTTAAATTATTTATTTTTATAGGAGGGAAATGTTGATCTTCACCGACCAACATTAGAAAGTCTCCGTACCTTGATTCGAACGTCTACCAGTTCCATGACTTCTGTACCGAAACCATTAAAATTCCTCAGACCTCATTACGCTACCATAACCGAAGTTTATGAAAGTTGGTCACCGTCTGATAATAAGGTAAATTTTTTGAATATTTATAAATTCTATTATCGATGTGTTATTAATTCATATATATAATCTATATATATTTATATATATTTATAGTTATTCTTGGCTGACATCCTGTCCGTATTGGCGATGTCTTATGATGAAGAGAATAGGGATTCCTTGAAATTTAGACTTCAAGGTTCGAGTGAAGATCCTGGCTCTTGGGGACACGAATACGTGCGGTAAGAAATCGTTGTTAATAAATAATTTATTTTTGATTTTAATATATATATATTTATTTTAATTTAATATACAATTTTAAATAAATAATTTTAATACATCATTTTTCCGTAATATTATTATTTTCAAGACATCTTTCATCCGAAATTGGACAAGAATATAATCATCGTCAAGAAAATGATATGGAATCGGAAGATCTTATAGGACTCGCATTAGAGATCGTTCCATTCTTTTTAAAACATAACGCAGAAGCGGATGCTATTGATTTATTGCTTGAATTAGAAATAATCGATAGAATTCCACAATTTGTAGATGAAGACACTTATGCACGCGTTTGTCGATACATGGCTAGGTATGAATGAATACCTAATTGAAAAAATGAATGATAATTACATATAAGGATAAATAATGGATAAATTATATTTATATACCTTTATATCTCTCTCTATATCTCTCAAAATAGTTGTGTGAATTTGTTGGTTCCTCCGGATGATTTTCTTTTTTTACGTACGGCACATACTATTTATCGACAACATAATAAATTTACTGAAGCCATAACATTAGCTATACGCCTAGGGGATCGTGACTTAATAAGAGAGGATTTTGATGCAGCAGGAGAATTTGACGCGTATGTTTTTTTTTTTTTTTAAGATATATATCTTATAATAAATATTTTATTTATTTATAAAAATTTCTTAAAGTTTGAAAAAATGAAATAATTATATACATTTTTTTTTCAAAGACTTTTGCAAAAGCAAGTTGGGTTTTTATTAGCTCGTCAACAAATGCCAATGCAGATCGAAGATGAGGACATTCAAGAAATATTGAACAATACACATTTAACTAAACATTTCATTGCTCTTGCCAAGGAGTTAGATGTTTTTGAACCTAAAACTCCAGAAGATATTTATAAAAGTCATTTAGAAAATATTCGTAAGATATTAATCATATTTAACCATATTTAACTATATTTTACTATATTTAACTATATCTAATTATATTTTAATTATAAATTTATTATTATTATTAAACGTTTAATCAATTATAGGACCAGGATTCACTAGTGGCACTATTGATTCTGCACGACAAAATCTAGCATCAACCTTCGTAAATTCATTTGTTAATGCAGGATTTGGTAATGATAAATTGATTACCATTGAAGATGGGAATGATTGGATCGGTAGAAATAAAGAACATGGTAATAATATTAGCGTCATGTTAAATCTAGAACATTTAATTAAATAATTTGTTAATTATCTTAATTATCTAAATTGACCTTCCTCGTTAATCATCAGGCATGTTGAGTGCAGCTGCATCAATTGGCATGATAATGTTATGGGATATGGATGAAGGTCTTATAAAACTTGATAAATATTTATATTCACCTGATGAATATATCAAGGTAACAATTGTTATATAATCTATAAAAAAAAATAATTTCAACTTTCTGAAATAAATATTGTAAAATATTTAATAATTGTTATGATTGTTTAGGCGGGTGCTCTTCTCGCAATTGGAATCGTAAATACTGGAGTTCGAAATGAAAATGAACCAGCTTATGCGTTACTTTCTGAATACATTAACAAAACATCTAATCATCAATCGAGAATTTGCGCTATAGTTGGGTAAGAAATTAAATTAAATTAAATTAAATTAATTTGACACCATAATATACTTATGATGTTATATTACATTAGTCTAGGAATGGCATACGCCGGATCACATCGGACAGATATTTTAGAGTTATTACTTCCGCTCGTTAGTGATACTAATTTAAGTATGGAAATAGCATCACTTGCAGCTTTATCTTTAGGAATGATTTTTGTGGGAGATTGTAATGGAGATATCACGAGTACCATATTACAAACGATGATGGAAAGGGATGCAACCCAATTGAAAGAGAGTTGGGGTAGATATATGGGATTAGGGTTGGCTTTACTTTACCTTGGTAAATTTCTTCTTATTTCAAGTTATAATCATCATCATCTTTCTTTCTTTTTTTTTTTATCTATAATTTTATTAATTATTTATTAATTAATCAATCATTATTGTAGGCAAACAAGATGCTTCTGATGTAACCTTAGAGACATTAAAAGCAATTGACCATCCCATCAGCAAACAAGTTGGAGTTCTGGTTGAAATCTGTTCATTTGCAGGTTTGTATCACATAATTTATTACATAATTAATATCTTGTAATAATGATATATTGTTTAATATCTGTTTTATACATAATATATATATATATATAATTTGTTAATTTTTGTATTCAAATAATTCTTTACGTATAGGAACTGGAAATGTACTCAAAATACAAAACATGTTACATATTTGTGATGATCATTTAGACAAAGAGAAAGAAGATGATCTACATCAAGCATTTGCGGTATTAGGAGTTGCTTTAATAGCTATGGGTGAAGATATTGGCTCTGAAATGTCATTAAGAACTTTTAATCATTTGGTGGGGGTTTTTTTTTTAAGAGATCTAATTTATCCTTTGATATAATTTATTTATCATAAATTTATTTAATCTATTTTAAAATATTACATATTTTATTTATTTATTTGTTTATGTATATAGATGCACTATGGAGAACCCGTTATTCGTCGATCCGTTCCTTTGGCATTAGGATTACTTTGTGCTTCTAATCCTCTTTTAAATGTTTTAGAAACGCTTAGTAAATATTCTCATGACAATGATTCTGATGTGGCTATTAATGCAATCATTGCTATGGGTTTTGTTGGTGCTGGAACCAATAATGCAAGATTGGCTCAGATGTTAAGACAACTTGCTTCATATTATCATAAAGAACCCAATTGTTTATTCATGGTTCGAATTGCACAGGTAAATTAGTATTATTATAGTTTTTTAAATATATTAAATATTTTAAATATTTTTAAATATATTAATTATCTTTTCTTTTTTTTTTTTTTTGAAAAATATTAGGGATTGTTGCATATGGGAAAAGGCACGATATCGATCAATCCATATCATTCCGATCGACAATTGATGTCACCAGTTGCAATAGCTGGATTGTTAGCAACAATTATTTCTTTTACTGATGCCAAGACATGTGAGTTTATCATTTCATATTATTTTATTTTATATTTATTTTATATTTATTTATTTCATATTATATATTTTATGTTTATTTCATATTACTTATTTTATATTTATTTTATATCTAATAACAAATCAACATTTTACTTTTTATTTATTATAGTCATATTGGGAAGATATCATTGGTTCTTATATTTCTTAGTGACTGCAATGTATCCTCGATTTTTGATTACCCTTGATGAAAATCTGAATAGTTTACCTGTAACTGTGCGCGTGGGTCAAGTAAGAAAATAAAAATATTAATCGTTAATAAATGAATTCTCTTTAAAATAATAATAATTATTATTTATTTATTTATTTTATTATTTAAGGCGGTTGATGTTGTAGGTCAAGCTGGTCGGCCAAAAACAATTACAGGATTTCAAACTAATTCTACACCAGTATTGTTGGCACATTCTGAACGTGCCGAATTAGCTACGGAAGAACGTATCCTTTTATATTATAAAAAAAAAAATTTTTAATTAATTTCTTTTATCCTTTTTATTTTTATTAATTTTTTTTCATATAATTCTTAATGACTTTCTTTTTTCTTTTTCAACAGATATTGCTCTGTCTCACGTTTTGGAAGGATTTGTTTTTCTTAAAAAAAATCCAGATTTTATGGAGGAAGATAAAGATTAATTAATTATTGAAATTATTGTGGAATATTATAATATGGTGGATAACTATATAACCATACCAAATTTATATTGGTAATTCTTTGTTTTTAGTTTTATTAAATATTTAAGAATTATTTTTTATCAAAATATTTCCAATGATATAAAAGTGAATTATTTAATGTGTAATAGATAGATGTATGTGAACCTATTATGACATTTAAAATAAATTTCATGATAATTATAATTATTATTTTATTAAATTTATTTGCAAGTTCTAATCCTTGTGGAATATTTAGGAAGTCTGGATGATGCTCATGCCATATCCTTTCACTTCATCTAGAAGTTAGAATATATAAAAAATAAATGAATATGACACAATTTTTCAATTGCACAGACCAACTTATAACATTTTTTGATCGATGCTAAATATGATATATAAGAATGGTACATATATTATATAAAATTACATTGGTATACAATCTACAGTTTCTATAATATTATGGAAGTGTTTTGAAGTTCATGCAACGTATGCCTATTATATAATCACAATAACCATTCCATTGTATTTCTAATCTTTACGCTTTCGTTTACGTATATGAGATTTTTCAGTGTTTCGTGAAAGAGTGATAATCAGTAAAAGTTTCTATCATCACACTTAAAGCAGTTCATTTGTGATTCGTCTTCACATTCTGATGTCTCCGTTGGTGTTGATACCACCCTATGATTTTGAAGTAACTGATGCAGTTGATACAAGCGATCATTAATAGTACGCTGGTGATGGGAAGCAAGTAAGATAAGTAAGAGGTGAGAAGAGCCACAGGTTCTTCTAATAAAGTCATTTAACATAACACAATTCCCACAATTCCAGCAAATAATTATTACGATAATTATAATTAAAGCAATACAGATAATACCAAAAAAAAACAAATATTTTATAACAACAAGTTAAAAACAGTTTAGACATTTTGCAATTCAAAGATTAGTAATTGTTACAATTTATATCAAATTAATAGTTGCTTCGTGGATAAATCAAAATTACATCACTTGTGTTTACTGAGAACTTACTATATCCACTTCATTACCGGTTTGAAGTTAGAAAAATAAACTTGTCATTGTCTGGAATATAGCGTAGGGAATATTTATATTATCTGTAATAGGGGTTTTTTTTATTAGCATATATGTACAAAAAAAAGATACCAGCTAAATGTTATATAAATAAATAGATCAAATAAATCGAATAATAAGAATGTATATTATTGAATAATTAACTTTGATTCATTTGAAATCTCATATCTAATTTCTTTTACTAAATTACTCCCTAATAATATTTACTGCTTGATTACTAATTGTTTTTTTTTATCATGATCCTATGTATGGCTCGCGAGTCATAAGTGGTTCACGAGCCTAATATTTGTTCAAAAATATTATTAGACGATTTGATAATGTTTATTTAATCACCTAAAAATATTATTTTATTAAGTCTAAAAATAATATTATTGGGCTATTTAAATAATAATTTTTATTAAATTGCCTAAAAATAATATTTTTAAATGATTTAATAATTAATCGTTTAAAAATAATATTTTTAGACGATTTCATAATTGGTCGCTTAAAAATAATATTTTTAAGTGATTAATTATGAATTATTTATTAAATCATTTAAAAATATTATTTTTAGGCGATTAATTATGAAATATTATTTTTAGGAGATTAATTATGAATACCTATCCAGATAAAAGGATATCCGTACAAAATTACAAATTGGAAATAATTCATGATTATTACCACATATAAAACATTTTATTTTAATATGTGAATGTCAAAAATGGTACTAATTAACCTTAAAGACAAAAATGATTTGCGTATCATATTAAAGAACAGATCTATATCATCAAAATTGAGAGAACTATTAGCGGTTAAATTTCGACAATTGTTCGCCCGTTCGAAATTTAACCGCTAATGGTTCTCTCAATTTTGATGATATAGGTTTGTTCTTTTAAATATAATACGTAAAAGATTCTTATATTTAAGGTTACTTAGTATTGTTTTTGATATTTACTTATTAAAATAAAATGTTTTATATGTAGCAACCATCAATGATTATTTCCGATTCTTATTTTATTACAAAAATTTTAATAATATGTTACTCCCCACTATCTGAAAATTTGAATTGTATCCGGTCTTTTGGCCGGCATATTACGGTAGTTGCTTCGGAGATAGAAATTTACAAATCATCAAGGCTTTATCTAGGACAAAAGAGAGTTTATTCGTTGTGTTTTATGAAATTAGAGTGCATTATCTACACTAGGGGTTTTTGTATCAGGTAAAATAATATTAAAAAAAGACCAATGATCCACGGAACTGGAAATAAATAAAATTTAACCCTCAAAGAACATTCTAGATTAATTATACATGAATAAGTGAATAAGTTATACATTAATGAATAGTTTGACACATATGCTCCATGAGAGTTTGTAGCACACACGCTAATCTACTTGATTTTCAATGTTGGCATTTCTTTCAACATTGTCAACATTATTGTTAATATTGTTACTATTATTGCTCTCAACATTGTTAACATTATTATTATTATTATTATTATTATTATTATTATTATTATTATTTTTATTATTATTATTATTATTATTATTGTTATTATTATTATTGTTGTTGTTGTTATTATTATTATTACTTTCAACATTATCATTATTTTCAACAACATTGTCCATCCCAAAAATATTTTCAGGTTTTTCAGAGAATAAGATGTGACCTTTCCTAGCAACAAATTTTTTTGTTGCATTACATTCTACACATCTAACTTGAAGAAATGGTTCAGAATGATCTTTTAAATAAATAAATAAATTAATTAATTAATAAAACATATCATTAATATCACTGGAGATATATATAAATAAAAGATATAAATAAGATAGATAGATAGATATATTTACTCACATTTCATTCTTACTTGAGAAGTAATTCCTGGTAAAAGTAAAGTATCACATTTTCTACATAAATTTCTTTTAATCGAAGGATCAATTCTTAAAACTTGTTTAGTACCAATATTTTTCATGGTATTCACATAAAATCGACCTAAAGAAACTAAACCACTACTATCATTGCTATTATAACCGTTATTTCTATTATTACCGTTATTACTACTACTACTATTATTATTATTATTGTTTTTAGTATTATTATTATTATTATTATTATTATTATTAGCGATGGTAGTAGTCATTAGTGTAGCAGCTTGGTATAGGAAATTCATTCTTTGATAAATTTCACGATGTTGAACTTGACCAGGACCCGGTTTACGATTTTTCTTACCCATAATTATTTTGATAACTAATATAATTTGTTTAAATTGTTAAAATCGAGTTATAATTGAGGTCTAATAATAAAACTAAGCAGAGAAAAAAAAATGTACAATTAAAGTTTATGCAAGATCCAATCTTGTATCACTTGACTTTTTAACAGTAAATAAAATATAAAAAAAAAAAGTGTTTAAAATAAAAAAATCAAATAAAATGGACGAACAAGTATCTAATAGTTTTCATAGTTTAATAATATAAATTTTACAATTGTTGTTAATAAATATATGTATCTATATGTTATATATGTATTTACTCTTTATATTATCCTAGGAAATTATTGATCAAGGGAATGAAGAATTTATTGAACAAGGAGATATTTATGAAGAAGTGACTTTAGATAATAATGATTCTCCTTCAAATGATATGGATGAAGATCATAATTATGGTGAAGAAGAAAAAGAAAATGATGGAAAGTAATTAATATCTTTATTATATTATTATTATTATTTATTCAAAAAGAATATTTTAATAATAATTTTTTGGGGGGGGGGGTATTATAAAAATCTTATAGAAGATCATTCTGAAGCAATTGAATTAATAGATAATTCTATACAAGGATTCTTTGCTCATAAAGGTATTCTTATTGACAATTACTATATCACTATTATTAATAAAAATAAAAATAATAAAATAAATGGGAATAATAATTATATTATTAATAGATTCAGTATATTCAATTGATATGCATCCAATTGATCAAAATATAATTATATCTGGTGGAGGTGATGATAAAGGTTATTTATGGAGATCTGATACTGGTGAACAATTATATGAACTTTCAGGTTATTATTATTATTATTATTATTATTATTATTATTAAATTATTATTACTATATTATTATGTTAAATTATTATTATATTTATTTTTAATAGGTCATACAGATTCAGTTACATCAGTAAAGTTTAGTAACAATGGAGAATATGTAGCTGGTGGTGGTATGGATGGTAAAATATTAGTGTGGGAAGTAAATAATGGAAATTTAGTAACTGTATTAGAAAGTTCTGATGAAATAATGGTAAAATAATAATAATATTATTATTATTAATGTTTGTTTATATATTTTATTTTTTATTTATATGTTTTCTATTTATATATATGTGTGTGTGTGTTTAGTGGATTGATTGGCATCCAAAAGGTGCAATTATTTTGGCAGGTGCTAATGATGGAACGATATGGATGTGGCAAAGTATGTATTGATAATTAATTAAATATTTTGTCTGATTATAAATAATTAAATATTTTTATTATATATTTTTAATTCTAACCAAATAATCGTATAACTTAATTATCATATAAATTTAAATTATTAGTTCCATCTGGTAATTGTATGAGTGTATTTTCAGGCCATGCAGGATCAGTTACAGTAGGACAATTTACACCAGATGGTAAAAAGATTGTTTCTGGTTCAAATGATCGTTCATTAATATTATGGGATCCAAAAACTGCTTCTTCAATATTAAAAATTTCTGGTATTTAGATTTAATAATTAATTCATAATTTATGTTTATAATTCATTAATATTTATAATATTTTTATAATTCATATAATATATTTATTATATAATAAAATTATATAATAAAATTATAAAATTAATAGGTGGAGAAGATTTCAGATTTCATCAATCAGATATTACTTCATTGGCTGTTAACAAAGAAAGTAATTTGGTTCTTACAGGATCTTTAGATTGTTCTTCTAAATTGGTTAATTTAAATAGTGGTGGAATGGTAACAATTAATTACAATTAATTACAACTGATTACAATTAATTGCAACTAATTACAATTAATTACAACCAATTATTTTATTTATTATTACATAGATTCTAGGATCCTTTGAAGATCACACTGAATCAATTGAAACAGTAGGATTTTGTAATTCGTAAGAAAAAAAAAATTTATTTACTTAGATATTTTAATTATTAATTAATTATTTAATAATTATTTAATAATTATTTATTTATATATATTTTTAAATTATTAATTATTTTTAAAAAGCCATCCATTAGCAGCGACAGGATCTTTGGATAATAAATTAAATATTTGGGATTTAAATACAATGAGATTGCGTCAAACATGTCAACATGATGTAAGTAATTATATTTAATTATATTTATTTAATTATATATTTTGATCATATATCTTATTTAATTATTTATTTAATCATAATATTTTAATAATAATTCAACAATGATAATTTGATATATAAAGGGAGGAATAATCAAACTTAAATGGCACAATGATTCTCCATTATTAACAACTTGTTCAGGTAAATCAGTTCACATTTGGGATAGTAGAACAGGAAATAATGAAATAACTTGGCATGGACATCAAGATTCTATATTGGATTTCGCTATTTCAAAGTATTTATTTAATTATATTTTATTTTATTATTATATTTATTTTAATTTATTTTTTTTTTTTTAATTTATTTCATCTTTTTTTTTTTTTTTTAATTTTAGTGATGGACGTAAAGTAGTAACAGCAAGTGATGATCATGTTTGTCTTGTATTTAGTATATGATTTTTTATTCTTTATCTTGTTATATTTATTATATTTATAAATAAATAAATAAATAATAGTTTTTAAATGTCAAATTTTATTTGATATTATTAAATTAATAACTTTACTCATTGGAATAAATAACAAATCAAAAATATTAAAATAGATAAAATAGATAAAATATATAAATATATAAAATATATCCATATCTATTATTCTCACAAATGGTGATAATGTTCCAAATGATCAGCATTATAATTAGAAATGTTTACATTAGAGAGATGGAATGAATCTAAATTAAAAATAAATTAATAAATAAATTAATAAATTAATAAATTAATAAATAAATTAATAAACTAATTAATAAAATAAATAAATAAAATAAATAATAATTAATTAATTAAATTACTTACCATTATTACTGTTTAATTCCAAAGTAATACTATCAAGATCCAAATTAAGGTAATTTTTTATAAATTCACCAATTTCAGTATTCTATAAAAATATATGATGATGATGATGATGATGATATATTGATAATGTTACTAACTATTATTATGAATGAATGATAATATGATATTATTAATAATATTATTTTTTATTTTACCTCATGATTTCCTCTTATAGCTTCAATATTCATTCCATAAGCATATAAATTCACATCTACACCTGAATGTCCATGAGTGGCCCACTTATAATAATCAAATAATTAACGATCATAATAATATAATAAATATAATATAATAATAAATATTAATTATAGTAATAAATATTAATTATAATATTTAGAATATAATAAGTAAATAATTAATTACCCCTAATTCAGCTCTCCAACTAGTCATATTAGCCAAATAATAGATATACTCTTGACTGGTTAAATTTTGATTCAAATAAGTTAAATCATCTTGAGTAAAATCATTAATTCCCAATCCATCATTAAGAATTGTTTTATTTATAAATGAAGTTCGATCATCGTCCCAATAACTTTTCAATCGTTGGGCCAATATATATGATGAATTCTTTATTCGTGATATTACATCGGGATACCTATTAAATTATTATTATAAGATTAATTATTATTATTAATGATTATTATAATTATTAATCATTAATTATTTATTATAATTATTATTAATCATTACCAACGATATATTGGGTTAGGGATTTTTTGAAGGGCAAGGGATAATCCACCAGTTTCATGATCACTGACCTATTTATAAATTATTACGAATTATAATAAATTATATAATAATAAATGATATTATTAATAAATGATATTATTAATAAATGATATTATAATATTATAATAATAAATGATATTTTAATAAATGATATTATTAATATATGATATTTTAATAAATGATATTTTAATAATAACATACCGAAATCATGACAGTACCAGGATGTTTATCAATAAATTTACGAACAACAGCCACTGTTTCATGATATTCTAAAATTTCATGAACATGAGTACCTGGATCATTTCTATTCATTAATTATGAGAGAATAATGATGAGAATTGTTATTATTACTATAATTATATTAATTATATTAATTCTAATTACTTACTCATGCGCTGCCATATCTATATTGATATTATTATTAGATTATATTTTTATTAGTTATTATTATTAAATATTAAAATATTATATTATTATATATCTTTATTTACCAATTCGACTTCCTTCAATCATTAAGAAAAATCCCTTATCACTATGAGATTCGAGAATTTCCAATGCTTTCCCCGCCATTTCTTTTAAAGATGGTTCAACATTTTGATCACGATCTATCTCATATGACATGTGCTAAATAATTTCATAAAATAAATATAATAATATATTAATTTTAATATTAATATAATAATAATATTATTATTATTAATATTATTATTAGCATTAATAAATAAATCAATTACGTCTAAAGTAAATAAGCCCATCAACGGAAGTCTAAATCAATAACAACAATAATTGTTATTACATAAATCTCATAAATTTCATAAATCACAATGACATAATTTACACCCACTTTTACTTACTTTACAGAAGAAGTATCAAGCGCATCAAATTCATTCCGAGTAAGTAAATTTTTAAATCCTTCCTCTTCTGCTTCTTGTAATAAATTTCTTTGATCAGGTCGACAACTTTCACTTGATGTATTAGGTAAGAAAAAACATTTTCCTCCTCCAAACATTAAATCAACTTGTTTGCCTAATGGATAATTTCCAATTTGTTGTGATGCTATAACATCTTCCATTTCTCTTGATACCACGTGTGCTGAAAATGATGCGGGTGTAGCATGAGTTATTCTACTAGTTACCACTAATCCTGTAATCAATCCTATGGCTTTGGCTGCTTCTAAAATTGTTCCACATGGTGATTTATTGGGATCCACTCCGATTGCTCCATTATATGTCTTTATACCACATGAAAATGCTGTAGCTCCAGCTGCTGAATCTGTAATTAAACTATCCGATGATCTCGTTCTGGAACTTCCTACTAAAATTTCATCTAACGGTGTCATATAATCATATTTTAAATCATTAACATATTGATAATATTCTCGTGCAAATGTTTCCGATGTTGGTCCAAATCCATCTGAAATCATTAAGATTACATTTCTTTTTGCTGGTAATTCTAGTTATTTTTATGTTGTGTTTGTAATGTAATAATTATTATTGTTATAAATGTTATTATAGTTGATTTTCGTTAATCACGTGCATGCACATATATATATATAGTAAAAGGATCTACTACTGTAATAACTTACTTGGGTCTGCCCAAATTGCAGTTAATCCTATTACGATTAAAGAAATAGTAATTGCTCCAAGGATTATTGCTAATAATTTATTTCTCGCCTTTTAAAAAAAAAATAATAATAATCTTTTTAGTCTAATCATTACATATTACAAATAGTTCAATCTTTTATAAGAAAAAAAATAATATTATAATAAAGAGATTATAAAAATAATAATATAATATAAAAGATATATATGATTATTCACATTTTTTCTTTCCGGTCCAGACCCAGATAATAAACCAGCTGTTTCTTCGTCTTCTGGGTGAGAACTATGAGAACTAGACATTATTGAAAGTAGTGAAAAAAAATAAAAAAAAGTGATCGAAAATAAAAAATACTAAGGTATAATAAGAATAATTTAAATAATAAAAAAATTTGAGTAACCTTAGCCCGCAAATCTTTATAACGTGATTTACTTTCTTTGAATTACATTCCCCTATGCACACACGTGTGGTCGTGTACCTTCGGGTTTACGGGAATTTTTTGGGGGGGGGGGGGAATGTTGCCTAATCCGTCATTAAAAATCAATTAAAAATATGCAAAAGGGAAGGTGAATACTGCAGATTAATAACGATAGACATCGACTGTGATTGGCTAAAATTATCAAAGTGCCACATGACACTCGGAAGAGTTCGTTATTGATATTTTGGGCTAGATTAGATTAATTAGATTATAATATTTTCATTCAAAATATTTTAAAAATTTTATTTTTAAAGTAAACATTAAATTTTTTTAATAAAAAATTTTTAAAAGCCTTGAATCAAAGTGGATATGACAAATTAGCATACTTTCATTAGAATAGCTTTTGATCAAACAAAGTTCATTCCAAATAAATGGATACTATATTGTATTACCATAATGATATTAATTCTATATATAAAATCTGTTTAATATAATATAATGTACAAAAAATCGACAATCTACATGATGTCCAAATTCAGAAAAGGACATATCGACAATAAAATTTTGCTAATCCTATTATTAATATTTCCTTTTTTTGAATTTATTGAATGAAGTTATCTCTTTTATTTTTATATTGCAATGTTTTTTCTAATATTTTAAATGTTTCCATATAAACTACATGTCTTTATAAATCTCATTTTAAATTATCAAATGAATTCCTTTTTCTTTTTCTTCTGAAATCAATTAATATTGAAACTTGAAATAAGTATCTTTCTAATTGTTTTTCTTGTTATTTTTTGTATTTTCTTATTCAACATATTTGAAATCTTGAAAGAAAGAATAACAATTATATCAAATTCATTAAGAACTTGATTTTTTTTTTTTGATAAATCTCATCTTGCAATTGTCTGATATTTTGTTATATACAAAAAGCAAGCTTTGTCAATACATAGTTCTTTCTCTTTCTTTCATGAAGATGCTATATGTTATCAAGATGAAGGTTTTGAGACAAATCAACATATAAGTATTTTGTATAGTAAATTGATTTACGTTTATTTATTAATATTTTAGATATTTTATTAATATTTTAGATACAAAATCTAATGTAAATTCTATACTAATAAAATAAATTATTTATATATTCTTTTATAATGTTTAAAGTTCTTTTGCTAATTAAAAGTATAAGCAGCAGCAGGGAGGGCAAGCAGACTTTTTGTTTTTACACCAATGTTTTTTTTCACCTTCAGTATACAAGTTTTAAAGTTAAAATTGCTAAAATCAGTAACAATTTTAATATATATCTTTTTTATAACATTGATAACAATAAATTTATGTTTACATCGTCTGGTATTTTTTACATCTTCAGTTTACAAGGTTTTAGATCATTTGGAGTTCAATTATAACATCGGTGTAATTGAATGTCTATCGTCATTTGGAGCAGTGTTTTTTTTACACCTTTAGTTTGCAATTTTTTAGAGCTAAAATTACTAAAATCGATAAAAATTTTTATGATGGTTTATTTATATTTTAGCTCCACCTGAAAGGTATAATGTAGTAGAGACAAACTGAAAATCCTGGGGTCAAAATTTTATTGCATGTCATTTAAGACCTTTTAATCCTTTTTAAATCCAAATTTTATAACAGATATTTGTATATCTATTTAACCTTCTAAAGTAAGAAAAATCTCTAAATCATATGATTACTTATTTGGTTCTTTTAACCTCTAATTTAATCAAATTCAATGACATCATTTTTTTTATTTTTGATCACATTCGAATATCAATTTTTTGATATCAAATTTATGAGCATTTATGCAAATGCGAATAGATTGTGGAGTGTAACGGAATGTAGTTAACTAATTTTATTTCTATTTAGTTATCATCACTGTGAGCATGAGCATTTATGCGAATGTGATACAGTCGTAAAGCGTAACAGAGCATAAGATAATTATTTAGATTTCAAATCAATCAATTATATATAAATACTATAGTAAAAAATCTAATCTCAAAATATATCCTATGCTAAGTCTAACCTCAAAGAAATTAGATTTAGTTGATATCAAATTCGTAAATATAAAAATATTAAACACGTTCTAGTATACCAGTGATTTATTAACATACCAGAAACCATTTTTATTTATATATTATAAGATCAAATAAAATATAAAAAAATTTATAAATCTAATCACACAGATGAAGGTATGGCGTGTATTTTATGTTTTAAGACATATGTGATATCAAAGCTCTAACCTCATAATATATTTTGTCCTAATTTCCTTGTGATATATATCAAAGATCTAACCTAAAGAATTAAATAATAATAGTATAAAAGAAATGGCTAGAAAATATAAAAAAATCATACTTGTGTATGCTGTGGTAAAATTCTTTCAACACTACAAAAGCTTCGGCAACATTATACTAGTGAAAAAATTTCACGTATACCTTTCAATCTTGAGATAGAAAAAAGTTTGGAATCTGAATATTATACAGCAGATGAAGGTCCAAATGAATATTTCTAATAAATTACTTATTTAATTACTTAATATCTATATAAAGCATTAGTATATAATAAAAAAAATTTTCGAATAAATCTAACTCTTCATCTTTGATATATGTATTAAGTCTATCTCTTAATTTTGATTTCTTGCCGAAGCCTATTAACATATTAAATCATATAATACCCTCCTTTTTTTCAGGTACAAGAAAAGATATATAGATAATTTAGCCAAAGGTTAACTTACACTATTGAGAATGCTTATATATTATTAATAGTATATCTGACTTTTTGTATATATGGGCTAATTTTTTCATATAAATTGATATATAAAAACCAATTGAACATAAATATTTTAAATTAAGCAAAAGTTTACATTTCTATTAAAGGTTAGACTTATCTCAATATCATGACACGTAAAGATAAAAAGAATCGAATTTGTGTATAATGTATAAATCTCTTTCTACTCCGCAAAAGTTTTGTCAACATTATGCAAGTTTAAAAAACTAATGTAAATTACAAACTCCAACTCCTATATCCAGACCTAAATCAAATATGAAAGCTCCAGTATTTCATATATGAGGAAAAGATTGAAGAATGAAAAAACAGAAAGTAATATCACCAATTCAAAAAAAAAATTCAGAAGCAGGTTCTGGTCCAGCAACCCAAGCTCATAGAGAAGGATTAAATGAAACGGAAACTCAGGAGATTCATATATCTCAAGAAAAATATGAATTTCTTAAAGCTTTAGGTATGATAGAAGATGAAGATGAAAATAATAAATTTATGACTAAAGAAGAATTTGAGTATCTTAAAGCTTTAGGTTTAATAGAAAGTAATGCTATATTAGAAACTGATTTCCACTTTGTTCAAATTAAAGTTAGTAATCTAGAAAGGCCTCATAATACTTTTAATTTAATGAGCAATTGGTAACAAAATTCTTTTGATTTACCAGAATTATTTGTAATTATTTTTCATATCTAGCAAAAGATAAATCACTTTATCCAACTCTCTTAGTTAATAAGCTTTGGTACATCAGGAAAATTTCACTTGCAAATATATGCAGATATATTCACAATTAATAAAAACTGAATATATGCAGATATATTTGCAAATATATGTGGATATATTTAATGTAATATACAAATTAATGTGGATTAATGTAATTTATACAGATAAATATGTGAGTGGACAAATATATCTGGATATATTCACCTCCAAAAATTTCCTGATGTATTATTGTTCCACTTCAATTTTATGAATTAAGATTATATTGAATGAGAAAAAGTCATCATTTTACTTATCTGAATTATAATCATAAATGGTTAAAAATGTTTATAAAAGTAATATGTGAAGAATATACATGTTTCCAAAATTGATTTCTGATTTTTGGAATATTTTGTCTTTTTGAGATTTACTCAGAATCTATTCTATATATGGAAGTAAAAAAAATATTTAGTTAAGTGTATCTTTAATTAAGGAATTTATCTGAGTAATCAAAAAATTTTAGGTTTAAGTAAAATAATTTTATCTTCTATAAAAAACTATTTTAATTTTTTTTTCTTCTCAAAATTGTAATTTCGAAACCTTAAAATAATTTTATATACAAGTATTGTGAAGAACCTATGCCTCTCTATAGTTCAAATCTAAAGTATCTTGAAATTGCAAAATATCACAATTTCTCAAATAGAAAAATCAGAAAAATTATACAAGTATGTTTCAATATAGTTCATCTAGATCTTAATTTTAGTAAAGGATTCAATGATATAGTCTTTATTGAAATAGTACATTTATAACATCAGTAAATTTTAATAGGTGAAAATTTTCAAAAATGTATACCATGTTAAATTTCTGTAATATTACAGGACCCACAAAAATCTACAGGATTCTGATGGAATTTTGATGTTAATATAAATTTACGAAATTTTACATTGATATAAATTTACGGAATTTTGCATTGACGTAAATTTACAAAATTTTACATTGATATAAATTTACGAAATTTTGCATTAATGTAAATTTACAAAATTTTACATTGATGTAAATTTACAGAATTTTGTATTGATGTAAATTTATAGAATTTTAATGTTAATATAAATTTTTTATAATAAAATTCTAAAAATTAATAGATTTTCTAATAGACAAAAATCTTTAACAGTATTAAAAAAATTTTTTAGATATAATATTCTGTAATTTTAATACAGTATTAAATTTTCATAATTTTTTGCATAATATTTTATAATTTTAATATAGTGTTAAATTTTCGTAATTTTTTGAGTATAACATTCTGTAATTTTAACACAGTAATAAATTTTTGTAATTTTTCACATAATATTTTGTAATTTTAATATAACATTAAATTTCTGTAATTTTTTAAACATAATATTATAAAATTTTAATACACATCAGTAAATTTTAATAGACGAAAATTTTCGAAAATTTACACCATGTTAAATTTCCGTAATATTACGGGACCCACAAAAATTTACGGAATTCTGATGGAATTTTGACATTGATATAAATTTACAAAATTTTACATTGATGTAAATTTATGGAATTTTGTATTGACGTAAATTTACGAAATTTTACATTGATGTAAATTTACGAAATTTTGCATTAATGTAAATTTACAAAATTTTACAATGATGTAAATTTACGGAATTTTAATGTTAATATAAATTTTTTATAATAAAATTCTAAAAATTTCAATATAATAAATA